GGACTTCTTTCCCCAGCTCTGGGACCTGGGGCTGGAGGACTTGTGTGGGGCTTGGACTCCTTGCTCCTTTGGATGGCCTCCACAGAGGCAAGGGGCATGCCCAGGTGCCAGACCAGCCTGTTGTACGTCTCCGTACCTCCTACCAGTCTCAATTGGCTTTTTTCTTTACTTCTCTAGTTGTAGTACTTCCACTCAGCCAGCTTTCCTGTGGTTCTGGATGATAGTTGTTCTGTATTTTAGTTGTAATTTTGATGTGGTTGTGGGAGGGAGCAAGTACAGGCATTTACCTATGCCCCTTCTTGGTTTCTTCTGCCTGTTTTGTTTTTAACATATATTTTTGTTGATCTCAGAGAGTAAATGAGAGGAAGAGAGAGATAGAAACATCAATAATGAGTGAAAAATATTGATCATCTGCCCCCTGTACACCCCCCATGGGGAATGCAGCTTACAATCCAGGCATGTGCCTTGACCAGGAATTGAACCATGATCTCCTAGTTCAGTGGTCAGCAAACTCATTAGTCAACAGAGCCAAATATCAACAGTACAACAATTGAAATTTCTTTAGAGAGCCAAATTTTTTAAACTTAAACTACTTCTAACGCCATTTCTTCAAAATACCCGTGGTATTTTGTGGAAGAGCCACACTCAAGAAGCCAAAGAGCCGCATGTGGCTCATAAGCCGCAGTTTGCCAACCACAGTCCTAGTTCATAGGTTGATGCTTAACTACTGAGCTATGCCAGCTGGGCTGTTGTTTTATATAAGGTTTAATTATATAAATTTTTTTTCTATTACTAACAAATTTGAGAATGAATTTTATTTAGGATCTAAATATCCTACAAAGGTACCATCTTATCTATATGCCACTAAAAAATACTCCCTGCCTATCACAAAGGCATAGAAGCCAGTTCATGAGTCTAAGCTGCTCATTCCACAGAGATAGATAAAACCTAACCAGAAGTACCCTTGGATTTAAATCCCATTCCCATCCCAAGCAGTGACTGGGAGGGTCATTAAAGGAACAGAGAGGAGCTGCAGAAGACAGTTTTGGCGTTCTCAGCTTTTAGCTCGAACTGTTGCAGAACTGGTTTCTAGCCCATAACCCCAAGCTCTGATGGAGACAGGAATGGCAGTCTCTACTTCACAGTGAGGAGACTAAGAATCAGAGAAGTACGTGGCTTACCTAGGATCACACAGAAAGTCAACTCCAATTCCTAAACTTCCCTCTGTTGCCTAAACCTCATTCCAGGCCAGGGACCACATGGGGTAGAACCCCTGCTCCATTTCAGGAAATGGGGCTGTTGATTTTTCATTTACACAAAAATGAAAAATAACACCAGATGTTTTCTTTGAAAACATTGTAAGTCATCCTTACTGGAACTTTAAAGTGCGGTCTGATTAAGAAAATTAAATTAGAAAATCCACATAGCAAAAAAACAAACAACAAAAAAACAGAGTATTTTGAATGAAATGCACTTTGTCTTTCATACACACAAACAATATCTCATTGTTTCTTCTTCAGGGAGCAGCTGTGAAGGAAATTGGGGGAGGGAGATGGTCAAAACATTCCATCTTTGTGTTTTATACAGAGCTACGCTTTTAGTCCAGCCCTCCTGAACTGCAGGGGGGTGTGGCTGCATGAAAATTAAACGTCAATGACCTGATGAAGCTTATAAAATAACCTGGGAGAAGCCAGTCACCTAAACAAGGCATCTCAAAGTTGGTGCTTTTGCATCCGGAAACTGCCTTCATCTTGATAAAAAAAAAAAAAAGGTATGTACTGTAGTTTTGATTTTTTTTTAAGGATGAATAATGCTTAAAATGGTCTAGATGGTCTTGATTTTTTTTTTCTGCCCCTTTTCAGCTAAAAATTTATAACTAACATGATTATGAGACTTACATGCTCCAAGAGGGCACTGAACTAACATGATAGAGGGCTTGTGCCCGTAGTTTCGCAGACTTGATCTAATTTTCCCTCACACAAACTGCGGTTCAGATTTCTGAAGCAACAGGCCCAAGATAAAACTGCTAACAAACACCAGAGCTGGGTTGTCGACTCAATGTTGACTCACCTCAACATCTTCCACTTGCAATATATACTCTCTCTGTACTAACTGAGACAATTGAGAGAACTTTCCAATACTATACTAGATGAATTCTCGGGCAGTTGTTATCCAAATGTTCAGTACAGGAAAATACTGAAAAGCGAACTGGAATTGTGTGGCTAGAAAATGCGTCTAACAATATGGCACAAAAATGTGTTCTTCAGAAGATATGTTTTCTTGCTAAATTCAGTAGCTACATGAGTTTTTAAGACTCATTTGCTTGTGGAAATGTATGTTACCACGTGAAATCTAAAAATCTAGTCCTTAATATTCTTCAGCTTCTTGAGATCAGAGACCAGGTCACGCTAACATGCAGGAGTTAGGAGTGCAGTCTTAGGAGATCTGGCAGAAGCTCTGGCTCCACAGCTTACCAGGATGTGAGCTGGGCAAGTTGAACTCATTGAGTTGGATCCTTCCGGGAGGGGTGGTTTGGAGATTCAGTGCCTGGCACTTGTAAAATCCCCGAGGCCAAGGCATCTGGGTGGGAAGCTCAATGAATGTGAGCAGTGGTTCTGAGTCAGTGTTGGCCCAGTGGATGCCCCTTAGAATTATTCTTAAATTATTTACTATTCAATTAATATAATATTTAAATTACATGCATTTTAAAAAGTATTTAAACTCTTCTCAATAGGACAATCTTCCCATTAGTATTAATTAGAAGATGCAAAAATGTGAAATATATACCCAAGTTCATAGGTACATGTTAATGATGTGATTTATCCTCAGTAGGTACTCAGTAAGTGTTAGAATTAGAATGGAAGGGGCAGTGAAAAATTATGGATTTTATGAACCCTTTCTCTCACAAAAAAAGTTTTTTGAGTATAGGAATAAAATTCCTGCAATAAAGAGGTATCTTTGGGAGAGATACAATCAAGGGTAATTAGCCTTGCTCTGAAATCCTCCTACAGAGCTAAAAAACATGTTTCAGCCCACAGTAGAACATTTTGTAATAGGAGAGCTGTCAGAGCAAAATGTGAAACTGACTTTTGGTGTAGCTGTCACGTGGGGAGGTGAGACTCATCAGGGTGTGCAAAAGGAAGCCTGGCTCAGAGCCTCTGCAAAATGGACCTCTGGAGATGGGGTGCGAATCCCAGCTCTCTGCCCTCTGGGCTCAGCTCCCCATCTGTACCCTTGGGGGCGGGGGAGAGTGGATCAACGGCCTCTAAGGTCTGGCCCAGTGTTTGGGACCCTCTGGAATGTGTATAATGTGTGTCCCTCCTTTGAAGTTAGCTCTCCTGGGCCAGGCACAGAGTGTGGCGCCCACTGGGACCAAAAATAGATAGAGCTCCAGTGGTTCCAAGAGCCTCTGGGAAATGGACGCACATTTTTGTAGATTTAGGCTGGGTTTCTGCAAATCCATCATCCCTGAAAAAGTTACACGGTGGTAGGGGTTGATGGGAAATGGGGCTTCAGAGACTAAGGAAGGTGGTCCCCCGACCCCCACACCCCTACAGACTTGCTCAAGGTGAGGGTTCCCAGCGACTACCCCTTCCCCCACCGACACTGGCAGTGCTTACTCGTTATGTAATTTTTCTTTTGAAAACCAGCCAGGAAACTTCCAGAAAAAAAAAAAAAAAAAGCTATTGATCATTAAAGTTATTTGAAAGTTTAGAGACTCATTATAAAGTGGGGATAATTATTCCTATTATGACACATCCTTTTAAATGCTCAGATCTGGGAACATTTTGCTTGCGTGGATCCAGCTCCTCCTCATCACAAGGAGAAAGGCAAAGAGCTGGAAATAGCTCTGGTGCAGCTACAGGCAGGGAGTCAGTCACACGGAAGAGAACAGACTGAAAGCAAGTCAGTGAGGAAAGCAGGGAGCAGCCTGGGAGAAGACCCTGCCAGCGGCCCTGCAATGCCCAACCCACCCTCACCCTCACCCCCCTACCCTCCCCGGCTGCCCCTCTTCAAAGCAAGCTGCTTCTGCTGCCAGAAGGGTGCTTTGGGCAGAAATACTGGTTGCAAAGTTGCATGCCAGCTACTAGTCCTCAGCACATCTAGGAAAAATATCCCCAATGGAATGTAAAAAGAAGAAAAGAAAAAAAATCAGAAACAATCATTTGTCTTGCTTTTCCTAGTAATAGTATCCAGCATTTATTGAGCATTTTCTCTGTATCAGACGCTGCTCTAAATGCTCTCTCTAGTATTTCATTTTAATTCTCACAAAACTTTATGAAGTGGATGATTACTATTCTTATTTAATAGACTAGGAAACAGAAGCATAACTGGGACACAGTTATACTTAGTAGATGGCAAAGCCAGAATTCAAACCTGGGACCCTGCAGCTCCCTGTCAAGGTTTCCAGCCCTACTCCTGAGTGTATAAACAGCTCAGCAAGATTGGGGCAGGGGTGAAGAGGGGGGCAGGAAGGCATTTCTCTTATGAATTCATAAGATACTAAATGTTACAGTGCTTTGTTCTCATTCTTTTCTCTCTCATGGTTCACTTGACAGCTTCAATCTCTCCCTTTGCTGCCTCCTGCCCCCACATCATTTCTGTTCACTCAAATATATACGGTGCCTGACACTACATGGTTCTGTGGGGGAGTCCAAGGAGAATCAATCAGACACAGTGTCCACCCTTGAAAAATGCCTAATTTGGGGAGGGGAAGTGGTTGTAACACAAATACAACAAACACTAATATCAGGCAGAGTGTGCTCTAAGCAGGTGCCAAGGCTCTAGAGAGAGGCTGGAGGGGGAGGATTGGGGGAGGGGGTAACACCTCACAGCAGTGCTGACAGTTCAGGTGGCCCCCGGGGAATACCGGGCTGAGTGGGAGGCTTGCCCACAGAGGGACCTGCCAGCCCAGAAATCTTTCTCCAGAGAATGCTCAGAAGACTCCCTTTGCTTTGCTTCCTCCAATCCCAGGTTCCACCTCAGCCAACAGCCCCAAGATGGTGACTGCCCTGCTGCTGCTCTGGGCACTGGCTGGCCTCTTCGGGGTGGCAGAGGGACAAGCGTTCCACCTTGGGAAGTGCCCAACTCCTCCGGTGCAGGAGAATTTTGACGTGAACAAGGTGTGGTAAAAGGCTAACCTCCGCTTGTTTTCTGTCTCCTGTTTGAATGCGGGCCCTACCAGGCTCAGTTATATTGTTCTGCTTTGGTGGCCACAGCAAGCCTGGAGGGACCTACTTAGCTTCTTTGTGATTCTGAGACAAGAACTGGGAGCAGGGGGTGTTTGTAAGCCAATACCAGGAAGCGCCAGCGACTGTGTAGGAAAGTGAGACAGCGAAGGCAGGAAGCAATAAAGGCTGCATTCAGGAGCAGGCTGCTCTGTGAACAACGAGGTTCAGTCCTGCTGAGGACCCTCTGAGGAAACGTGAGGAATGTACCTCAGAGTGTCCCAGGGATGGGTGTAAGTGGGCCTCGGGAGCTCTGGAGGCAAAGCTGCCTGGCAGAGAAGGGGACAGAGGGGCAGTGTGTGGGGGAATTGTCCGTGGCTGGAGTAAACCCAAAACAAAGGTGGACTGAGAGGGCACGGGACCAGGCATCAGCAGCAGTTGCTGCAGTAGCATTGTCCCCATCCTGCCGATGAGGAAGCTGAATGTTGAAGCATTTATAACCTACCCGGTCACACAGCCAGTGAGTGCTGACTGGGATTCAAAACTCGGATTCCCTGCAGTACACAGGTAACTCAAACAGGGCCTAGGAGAGGCCAGAACTCCCCAAAGGCTTTCTTGTTACCTGCACTAAAGAGATATCAATATAACCAGCTGGCCCATGTATGGCTTATCTTCCTCAAATTAGGCCCAGCCTTACTGAATTCCTGTGTGGCCAGGGGGATGGAGCAGCAGAAGAGGCGGCTTTTGGATGGCATGATTTAGAAAGCTTCTCATTGTTGCTAACTCAAGGCTAGAATCTCCCCATTAAGACATATTCTCGCCGAAACCGGTTTGGCTCAGTGGTGGAGCATCGGCCTGCTTACTGAAAGGTCCCGGGTTCGGTTTTGGTCAAGGGCATGTACCTTGGTTGCGGGTGCATCCCCGGTGGGGGGTGTGCGGGAGGCGGCTGGTCGATGTTTCTCTCTCATCGACATTTCTGGCTCTCTGTCCCTCTCTCTTCCTCTCTGTAAGAAATCAATAAAATATATATATATTTAAAAAAAGACATATTCTCCTTAGTAGACGTTTGGATCTCTCTTTTAAGAAGCAATTCGTTCTCTCAGTGGATAGTGTGTCGGCTTGTGGACTGAAGGGTCCTGAGTTCAATTCTGATCAAGGGCACATGCTCGGGTTATGGGTTCAATCCTCAGTAGGGAGCATGCAGGAGGCAGATGATCAATGATTCTCACCATTGATGTTTCTAACTCTCCCTCTCCCTTCCTCTTTGAAATCAATGAAAATAAATTTTAAAAAATAAGAAGCAATTCACTTGTTATGAATAACATTAGTGTTGTTATAAGTCACTCACAGCTCAGTGTGAATGAATGTTGGAACCTCACAGAGCACGGATTAAGGCAGAGAATGAGGGAATTTAGCTCACACCCTGAAGGGGGTAGGAAGAAGGGGCACCATTAATAAACAGGAAGGTAGGAGAGATACAGTACACCAAAGTTGACATTGACTTTCTGCATTAATTATTAAGGCTGATTCCTTTATTCAGGTATAGGAAGCTTTACAGAAAAAAATCCAGGGAACTTGAGTTACATTTCAGTTTGGGGATAAAATCCCAAGATACATTGGAAATTATAATTGATCTGTATTTACAAAAGTCCTTTGAGAAATAAAGCATGGAGTTTTACTGAGATGTAATCCTTAAGCTACATAATTTACCTATTTAAAGTGGTTTCACTTTCAGTGGTTTTTAGTATATTCAGTTATGAAACTATCACAGCAATCAATTTTATTTTTTAATATGTCTTATTGATTTTTCTTTTTACAGAGAGGAAGGGAGAGGGACAGAGAGTTTGAAACATCAATGAGAGAGAAACATTGATCAGCTGCCTCCTGCACACCCCCCATTGGGGATGTGCCTGAAACCAAGGTACATGCCCTTGACCGGAATCGAACCCGGGACCTTTCAGTCCGCAGGCTGACGCTCTACCCACTGAGCCAAAATGGTTTCGGCACAGCAATCAATTTTAGAACCTTGTTAGCATCTCAAAAAGAAATTCCATACCCATTATTGTTGCTAACTCAAGGCTAGAATCTCCCATTAAGACATATTCTCACCGAAACCGGTTTGGCTCCCCACTTCCCCCCTACCTTCTATGCCCCAAGCAATCAATAATCTACTTTTTTCCTTTGTGTGGCTCTGCCTATTCTGGACATTTCGTAGAAATGGAATCATACAATAGGTCTTTTGTGACTGACTTCTTCTACCAGCACAATGTGTTCAAGGTTCTTCCATGTTGTAATATAAATCAATACATCGGCTCTTTTCATTGCCGAAAAATATCCTACTGTATGGGTCATGCCACATTTTAGTCATCTGTTCATCATTTGGGTTGTTTACACTTTTTGACTATCAGGAATAATGCTGCTATGAGCATTCATGTCCAGGGTTTTTTATTTCCTTGTCTGGTTTCATGGACGGACATACACTCTCAATTTCCCTGGATGTATATCTAGGAATAAAATTTCTGGGTCATATGGTAACTCCATGTTTAACCTTTTGAGAAATTGCCAGGCTCTTTTCCAAAAGACCTGCACCATTTTATATTCCCACCAGGAATGTATAATTCTCATTTTTTCATATCTTTGCCCATACTTTTATTGCCATATTTTTTACTATAACCATTTTTAGTGGATATGAAGTGGTATCTCATAGTGATTTTGATTTGCATTCTTTTAATAGCTAATGATGTTGAGCATCTTTTCATGTGTTTATGTGTTGAAGTCTATTGCCCATTTTCAGTTGGGTTATTTATCTTTTAATTATTGAGATGTAAGAGTTTTTATATATTTTAGATACAAATGCCTATCAGGTATATGATTTGCAAGTTTCTTCTCCCATTCCATGGATTGTCATTTTACTTTATTGACACATGTAAGTTTTTAATATTAATGATTTCTAATTTATCTATTTTTTTTTCTTTTGTTGCTTCCATTTTTGATGTCATATCTAGAAAGCAATTGCCACCTTGGCCAGTATTGCTAAATGGTTAGAGCGTAAACCCACACACCAGAGGATCATAGGTTTGATTCCTGGTCAAGGGCACATACTTGGGTTGCAGGTTTGATCCCTGACCCCTGTCAGGGTGCATGCAGTTGGCAACCAAAGGATGTGTCTCTCTTCCTCCCTCCCTTTCTTCCTTCCACTCTCTCTAAAAATCAATGTAAAAAAAAATCTGTGAGAAGATTAATAACAACAACAAAGCCATTGCCTAATCCTAGGTTATAAAGATTTACTACTATATTTTCTCCTAAAATATTTTTAGATCTAAGCCTATGATTCATTTTAAATTAAATTTTGTATGTACTATGACACAACTTATTCTTTCACATGTAGATATTCAGTTGTCCCTATTTGTTGAGAAGACTATTCTTTCTTCATTGAATAGTCTCAGCATTCTTGCTGAAAATCAATTGACCATGTATGTAAGAGTTTATTTTTGGACTCCCAATTCTGTTCTATTGATCTATATGGTTATCCTTATACCAGTATGTATAGTCTTGATAACTATAGTTTTGTGATTAAGTTTTGAAATCAGAATGTATGAGTCTTCCAACTTTGTCTTTTGGCTAGTTTGGGTCCTTTGCATTTCCATATGAATTTTAGGATCAACTTGTCAATTTCTGTAGAGAAACCTGTTGGGAGTTTTAATAGAGATTACATTAAATCTGTATGTATATCAATTACTATCTTAACAATTTTGTCTCTCAACTCATGAACTTAAGGTATCTTTCCATTTACTTAGGTCTTCTTTAATTTCTTTCAACAGTGTGGTTTTCAGAGTACAAGTTTTATGTTTTTCTGGTTAAATTTATCTCTAAGTATTTTATTTTTTGACTAGAGGCTCAATGCACAAAGATTCGTGCAAGAATGGGCCTTCCTTCCCCTAACTGCCAGCATGGACTTCACTCTGGCCAGAACCGCCTTTTCACTCAGGCCCAGAGCCATCTTTCTGCCTTCCCACACTACCCAGATGCTCCTAGCAGCCAGGGGCAGGGGTGGAATGCCTTTGTCATCACCCCCACCCCCACCCCCACCCCCACCCCCACCCCTGGCTGAGCCTGCATATGCAAATTAACCTACCATCTTTATTGGGTTAATGTGCATACTCATTCCTGATTGGTTGGTAGGCATCACAAAGGTATGGCCAGTTTGCATCTTGCTCTTTTATTAGTGTAGGTGTCATTATAAATGGAATTTTCTTAATTTCACCTGCAGATTATTCATTGTAAGTGTAGAAAGAAATTTGATTTCTGTGTATTGATCTTGTATCCTTTCATCTTAATGAATTCATTTATTAGTTCTAATACTTTGTGTGTGTGTGTGTGTGTGTGTGTGTGTACATTATGATTTTCTGTGTACAAAAATTATGTCACCTACAAATAGAGAATCATACTTCTTCCTTTCCAGGATTCTTTTTAGACATTGCATTCCCCTATGTAGGAAGAGAAATTGAGACTCTATAACCTGGAAAAATCAAGAAAATAGACTCTTCTCTATAGCCTCTGGAAAAGAGCATAGCCTTGCCCACATCTTGGCTTTAGACCAGGGAGACCGTGTCAGACTTCTGACCTACAGACCTATAAGGAAGTAAATTTGTGCTGTTTTACACAAATTGTAGCTTAATCTATACACTATTTGCACCTGACTCTTTTATTAAAGGTACCTTGGAGATAATTACACATTACCCTTTTTAAAAAGTATGTATAACATTCCACTGTATAAATGTGTCATTATTTACTTACTCGGCCCCCTACTAATGCTCACTGAGACTGTTTCTTGCCTTTTATTATTACTCATTGCACTGCAACAAATAATCTTGTGCCTACACCATTTCTTTCACTACATTTCCAGAAGTGGAATTTCTGTATTTAGTTGTGCTAGATATTGCCAAATTACCCTCCGTGAAGGTTGTAAATTGGTTCAGTCTCTATGCCAGGCACTGTATGGAAGCACACAGTTGCACACTTCCTTTAAAGTTGACTCTGTATGCCGAAGTTATGAACTGAGAGTGAGCCTCAGTGGAAGAATGATACAGATTTTTTAAGTCCTGATCATCTGCCCAAAGCTTCTGAGGCCCACTCCCCGGGTGAGATCATATGAGGAGAACGCAGTCACCTCTAGACTCCCACCGTGAGCATATCTAAGTTTGTACACAATTCAAAGATGCCATGAAGAATCATAAAACGTTTGAAATGACACCTTACGTCATCTAATCCCTTACTTTGACAGAGATTCGAATTTCACATAGATTTTGTCTGAAGGGGACACAGAGCGAATCTAAATAAAGAGCACTTTAGGAATAGAATGTGGCATTCAATCAATGCATGCACATCCGAATCACTTATTCTCCTTTGAATGGTTATCTTGCTCCGTTGCTAGTGGGAACAATGCGGCCCATTTTGCCTGGTTTCCCCAGGAAAGGGCTCTGCTCTGAAAGACAACAATAGAGGAGGGTTTGCAGGTCCCCAGAGAGTCGCAGGGTTTTGCTCTACTTGTTGTTGTCTCTGCAGTATCTTGGAAGATGGTATGAAATTGAGAAGATCCCAGTGAGCTTTGAGAAGGGAAGCTGCATCCAAGCCAACTACTCACTAATGGAAAACGGAAACATCAAAGTGATAAACCAGGAGCTGAGGTGAGTGGCTGCGGTTTCAAAGGCATTCGCACATCCTGGAGCCCGCCCTGCAGAGCACTGTCCTGGAGTGACTGGGTGCCCTTGCAGTCTAGTTCAGAGAGGATTCAGTCATTGCTGGGCCTTCTCACACAGACCCTGAGAGGAAAGCTTTTGGCAGGCAGAATGGTGGGGACTAAAAGTCACTCATTTCCCTGCCCACTTGCTGACCACCTATTGCGCACTGGATCCTGGAGAGGCACTGGGCATTCAATGGTAAGTAACCCAAACTGCAGGGTTCCTGTTCTCACCGCAAAATAGGTACTCAGGTAGCAAAGGACATCAGGGACCATCTTGTCTGACCTCCAATCCAAGAGAGAAGCCCTTCCCATACAGCTACTGCCAGAGGCATCCAGCTTTGCTTGCAGCTTCCAGGAACTGGGAGCGCATCACCAGCCATGACAGTTTATCCCATCTCCCGACAGCTTCAGCTATTAGAAAACGCCTTTTCTTATGAAGCAAGGATCAAATACTCAGGGAGCCACATACTAGATTATGTGGACAGGATATCCTGTAGAAGTGTACCTTTTTGTTACTGAAGGCGTTTCCCAGGTTAATGTTTGATCCCAAAATTCACATTTTGAAAAGCAACCATAAGCTTTCAAAAGCCTCTGGAAAAACTCCTACCTACCCTCCATCAACAAAGATAACAGCAACAATAAAAATAGTAACTAACAGTATTTAAGCATTTCCTATATGCAAGGCATTATTCTGCGTATATATTTTTAATAATAAAAGCATAATATGCTAATTAGAATGGACATCCTTTCAGGACAAAGCCGGGGCTGAAACTAAGAGAGCATGGCAGCCACTGCGGCTGCGAGGGAGGGATCCAGGCTGCCGCCATGTCTGGGATTGCCTACTCTCGCACGAATTTCGTGCATTGAGCCTCTAGTGTACTCTATATATACATTTGTATATAGCTATGTGAATGTGCAGGTATAGGGTGGGGCAAAAGTAGGTTTACAGTTGTTCATATGGAAAATAATACAATAATCTATACAGTAAAAGCCTAAGTGACCATTACCGCTGAACCACCAGAACGACCAGTTGCTATGATGCACACTGACCAACAGGAGGCAGATACTCAATGTAAGAGTTGCCACCTGGTGGTCAGTGCCCTCCCACAGGGTGAGCACGGCTCAGCCAGAAGCTGGGCTCATGGCTGGTGAGCACAGCGACAGTGGTGGGAGCCTCTCCTGCCTCTGCAGCAGCATTAAGAGCAGCCAGCAGGGTGGTAAGGAGCAAGGGGTCCTGGACTGCAAGCTGTACCGAGGGACCCTACCTGCACCCCCCACACACCCAGTGCACGAATTTCATGCATCGGGCCTCTAGTTAATAATTCAAGAATAAACTGTTTCACATAGCCACAGCTGTAAACCTATTTTTGCCCTACCCAGTATATTTATTTAATCCCATAACAATCCTGACGTAGTGCTATTATTTACCCCATTTTTATAGGTAAGGAAACTGAGGTACAGTGTAGTAAAGTAATTTGCCAAAAAGGTCCACAGCTTATAACTGATGAAGCTGAGATTCCAACCTAGGGAGAAGTGACACCGGAGGAGAACTGGAGACAGACAAGAAAAAACAGGCTGAGAATATAGGGTTGTTTTTCCAGTTCCCTATGGGCTCTGAGAATTGTGTTCAACTTCAAGAAAACAACTATAGCCCAGCCTGGAAGTTACTCAGGCTCAAAGGCACCTTCTGAGGCCATCCTATTATCCACTTAGCTTCCAACAATGGGTTGACCTGCATAAACCAAAGAAACAAAGTAAGGATCTTAAGGGCCTCTAGAGAAAAATTCAGCTCATTCAGAGCCCAGGAAGGATTATAAGAATTGAGTTATAGACACCCAGAAGAGCTCACAGGAATTCTGTAGGCCCTAACGTTGCAATGCCTTTATTTCAAATTATTTGTCCCATTCTATGACCAATGTTCAGACAATGACGTAAATCCCAGCACTATGTGATAGATCTCCTTGCCTCTCAGGTCATATCTGGTACAAGATTTTCTAGTTCAGGAAAATGGTCTCGTTTCTCCTTCCAGGAGTGAGTGGAATACAATGAATGGAGCAGAGAGTCTGAGCTAAGCACTAGACATTGTCAGAGAATTTGAGGGACAAAGCAGCTGGCACAGGGTTGGGAGCTGAAGGGCTCAGGCTTTTGAAGAAGGCTCCCCACTTACAAATCCTGGTTTAGCCACTTACTAATAACAAGATCTTAGATAAATTGTAATAATCCTCTCAGCCTCCCTCTCCACCTGGGTAAAATGGCAATAATCATAGCACATCTCCCCAGAGGGCTTTGTGACTAAGAGTGAGGCAACACATGTAAAGCACTTAGACCAGTGTTAGGTGTATAATTATCTTTTAATAAATATTTCCTATTATTGTTAGTCTGCTGCTACTTTTGAAAAATTCATGCATCTTCCCATGAACAAGTTATGAGTTTATGATCAGAGAGTGGTGTTTTAAAAAATGTTCTGGAGCACAATGCAAATGACAGTGAAAAGGGGAAAAGCCTGATGGGGAGAGACTAGTTTGTTGCTAAGCAACTGTATGCAGATAGAAATGGACCATCTTCCCAATGGCTGAGCTCCAGGTGAGAGAGCTGGGCTCTGTCTGTGTTCCTATTTAAAGATAAGCAGACAATGCATCCAGGATCACCACGGTACATTCCTACCCTCCCTGACCTGGTGCTTGTTGGCCGGTTTCTAGGATATTCATCACCACTAACCAAAGCCTACTGGCTTCTGACACATTGCTCTAATTTTAGTTTGCCCCTGGAGGACTGATTAACAGGCAGCTCCTCTCCCAGCTTCCTAGGAAGAACACCCTAATGTCTGAGTACCTTCCCTCTGTGCTGCCTCCATCCCTAGGGTCCATGAGGTCACCGGGAATTATCCAAAAATGAGGCCACTTCCCTTCAAAAGAGTGAAAGTATTTCACACCCTAAGACCACCACTTTTATATACCTACCATTTTATATACCACTAAGAAAGAAATGACACTGCCAATTATAAATGTAGGGTAACATTAATTGTAAGATGCACATTTCTTCATAGTTAATGTCTCTAAGACCTGGATGCACCTGAGAATCACTGAAATAAGGTGTTTGCTGGTTGCCCGCTTTACCTGGCGTACATTGAAATCTGCCACATTCAGGCAGGAGCTTGCTGAGCTGAAAGGGGCCTCGGAGTTCATGTCACTGAGCCCTTTTATGGGAAAGGTGATCGCGAAGGCCAAAGAGGGTCTTGCAGAGCCAGACTCCATGTTTTGGCCTCCTCTATTTTAAAAAAGCGATTCCCTTTTTAAAAAAGACTCAGTGTCCTGGGTTATTGTGTTTGTTTTTTTTCTATTTTTACTTCCTCTTTCTGGAGCTTTGCAGGCCACTACATACAGTCCAAAAACCAGTGCTGAAGTCCAAGGGCCTAACATAGTGTCTAATCCTGGAGCATTGCCGTTGCTGCTTTTCATTTCCCCAAGGCTGTCTTCCTCCGATTGGTCTCAGAGACAGTTGCAAACTGAAGAGGAAAGGATAGAACTGGAGTCTGACCTACCTTTGAGGTCCTCTTGAATCAGAATTTGCAATGTTAGCCACTATGCTTCTTAAGTGTAACGAATCTTGTCCTTCATCGATTTTTTGCTTTCGTGAGTTATTTATTTATTTATTTATTTATTTATTTATTTATTTATTTATTTTTAACTCATTGCAGATCTGATGGAACTGTGAATCAAATCGAAGGCGAAGCCTCACAGAGCAACTCTACCGAGCCCGCCAAGCTGGGAGTAAAGTTTTTCTGGTGTAAGTATCCACTTCTCTCAGGAGGTTTCAGGGACAGGAGATAAGCAAACTGAAGGCTAAGAGCCCTGGGCTGGACATGGTTGTGCCCCATCTGAGTGTCAATAGTGATTCAATGCATAATTATTTATTGAGCCCCTACTCCACGCCGGGGCCTGGGCAAGTTGCTAGAGATGCCATGATGAGGAAGACAGAGCTGGTCCTTGGCCCCGAGGAGCCTGCATCCCAGTGTGGATAGGGACAAGTATCCAGGCAGTTCACTACAAAGCCGTAGTGAGTATTTCAATAGAGGAGACCCAGAGGGGCCCACCCAGTGGTGCAGCAGGACACCCAAACCAGTCTTGTTTCCTAGAGGAAACGGAAGCCTGAAAAATTAGTCGTTATTAGCAGAACAACTAACATATACAAAAGCTTAGAGACAAGAAACTGGTAAGAGTAAAGGTAAGTCTGAGTCCTGATTCTGTCTGCTACTTTCCAACCACATGGCTAGGGTCCCTGAGAAATATTTAATTGCAGGCATTTGCCCTCCGAGTTCTGCACTGAGGATTGACCATAGGCAACAGAAAAAGCACCACATATGAGTTTTATTGCTGAATTTATTAGGTTAATTCAGCTCAGAACCATGAGACTTTCTAAGGCCAAAACTGCTTGGGAACACCTCTCTACACCTGTGGGGCAGACACAGAAGTGACCAGCTGCAAGCCCTCCTCCCCCGTTTCCCCACTGATGAAGGGCCTAGAGTAGGGCAGAGAGGAAGTTCTTATTCTATAGACCAAGATAGGAATGCTGGGAGGAGGAGAAAACAGTTCCTCCCACACATATGACTGTGGGCAACTAACTTCACATCTACACCTAGTGTTGTGTAGATAAACTAGATCAAACCGGCTCTTTATGTTGTAAGGGGCTTTGTACAGGCCAGTTCCTCTTGTGGTTTCTACACATAAGAAGGTGAAATAAAGAAAAGCTACATGACAGGAGGCAGGGGGAGGGGACACATGTAATACTTTCAACAATAAAGAATTAAAAAGAAGAAAAAAAAGGCTAAGTGATATAGGCACAGTCATTGGACTAATTAGAGGCAGAGTTGGGACTAAAAGCTCTAGGTCTCCAAGCTCTCAACTGAGGGCTGGGGCTGGGAGGGAAGGTCAAATATTATGGGCACAACCTTCTTAAGGAAGCCAAACAGGAACTAAAAGACACAAGAGTTGTTGGCTGGGAAAGCAGAGGAAGAAGAGATTTATTGTTGAAGGGATCAGATGTTTACAGTGTTTTGCAGAGTGTATGGGAGATGATGGGAAAGAATGTTCCGAGCGGAGAGAATGGCATGAGAAAGGGCCTGAAGGGTCCATGAAGTTCTTAGGAGACAAGACGAGGGAGGGTCTCCACGGCCATGTTAGATAACTTGAAGGTCCTGTCCTAAAACTTTGACAGTCAATGCTTTCTAATAAAGAGGCATGGAAGTTTTCTTTGCTAAAAGGAAAATATCTGAGTAAATTTATGCAAGCGCGCTAGACCCTGTGGGAGGAAGACAGGATAGAAATGCCTGGGTGTGTGCAGTGGGGCGAGCTGCTGCTGCTGACGTATCACTCAGGGCCGAAGAGCTCTCAGTCCGCTGGGAACCCACAGAGCAGTTGACCCTCCACCACAGTAGCAGATACGTGGCAAATATATGCTCTCATGAGTGAGCCAAGCAGGTGGCACCAACAGTGTCAGAAATGTAAGTCAGAAACAGCACGCACTTTAGCTCCTGCAGCCTTGTCCAGGCTTCTGTCCAGACATCCTCCATGGGTTCTTCCGTTTTTATATTTATAAGCAGGTAGAAAGCCAGAGGTAGGAGGGATGTTGGTGGGTGGTCATCTGAACTAGCCCTCTTGTGTGGTCCTGATAATCAGCTGGGTCTTTGACCTCCAGCCAAGCTCTAACCACAGCTCACACTGCCTCCTTTGTCCAGCAGCTCAGCTCTGGTTTGACTTGGCAAACAGTGAGATTATTTTTTATTGGAGGCGGTAGGATGCTTCAAACCCAGCAAACCACCCAGGACTGCATGTGTGTCCAAGTCTTTTGTTCTTATGGGGCCAGCACACATCTATCTCCTATGTGGGTCCATCTTCCACTTAACTTTCACAAGCTATGCTATGAGTTTTCCTTGGTTTGGGGCTTGGCCATGGAGGTCAAATTCACGGAGGAAATTTCTGGATTCAGATGGAGAGGGCAAATATGCAAATCTCCCTCTAATAAGCCCTTTAATTTTGGGCTTTCAATGCTATGTAGCTATTGATCAATGACTCTTCATAGACCCTTTGTAAAGAAGACCTTATAACTTGTTGCCACCTGATTTACTATATTCTTAAGAATGGAAGGATTTTTCAAAGGACAAGTGGGGAGAGAAACAAACAAACCAATGTTAGCCACTACCTCTTCCCTTGGTCAAGCTCTAGAGGAATCTGAGTGGTACAGACTCAGAAAGCCCAAGGCTCCTGACCTTACATTCTTGAGTCTGCTTAGCTCAGAAATGCCTCTATCTGCACTAATGCTAATCTAGGGGGTCCAGCCAAGCCCCCCAGTTACTATGGGCTTCTAGAGACCAACCTGCTACCAGGTTCCACCAGGGAGGATCGGGAATGCTAACTCTGAACTCTGGCTGCATATTAGAATCACAGGGGAGTTTTTAAAAAGTATCGACCACCTCCATATCAGAATCCAGGGAGGGGTGAGGATGGGTCTAGTACTGGTCATAGCTCCCATGTAACTCCCTCATGAAGCCAGAATTAAGAACCACTGATCTGTAAGAACCAAGGCCCCAGAATCTGGCTTCCAGGTCCTGAAGATGAAGGTTTCTCTTGCTGTGGTCCCTCCTAACACTGCCCTCCTCGGTCCTCAGTGATGCCTTCCGCTCCGTACTGGGTCCTGGCCACCGACTATGAGAACTACGCCCTCGTGTACTCCTGCACCACAATCGTCTGGCTGTTTCATGTGGATCATGTTTGGATCTTGGGAAGAAACCCTTATCTCCCTCCAGAAACAGTGACCCATCTGAAGGATATCCTGACCTCTAATAACATTGACATCGAGAAAATGACCATCACAGATCAGGGGAACTGCCCCGAGTTCCTGTAATGAGGCAGGAGGCTGCATTCACCCCATGTTCCTTCTTTTGCTTTGCTTTTTCCCCACCCCATCCCACCTCTCTCAACAATAAGCCAACCCACCATGGTGAACCATTGCAAATATAGAAGGAAATTTGACAGCAGGAGCCAGCGGAGAGGAACTCAAGGAAAGTTGGCCCAAATGCTTAGCCGTACACTACCTGTTACCTTGCATGCCTAACAATAAACTTTTTTGCTGACCTGCTGTGCTCACAGTAAACTCCGATTTAAACAATTATTGTGGATTTATTTATAAACTTACATTTGGAAATTCTTAATCAGTTATGTTGAAAAAACAAAACAAAACTAAGTACTGAGTAGCTTACATTTAAAAGCAACAATCCTGTTTTGGAAAAGGAAAGCTGATGGCAATGACATATGATGGATCCAGGTGCCCCCTTCTGCATCGGGTGCTCCTTTGGGAAAATCACTTAGGGTTTTTGGGTCTTTGGCAGGCAGTTTCCTTGAAGCATTTACTTCCTTATCAGGAGGTCTTCAGAGTCAGGCTGAAGAATGGGACCGTGTTGGGTCTGGGCCAGAAAGAAGAGAATCTATCAGGGTGAACTCATGGGGAGTTTTTAAAGAAAATTATTCTGGGACGGGGTGTCTTTCATCCAGCTGATATTTACTGAGGCCCAACTGCATTCCAGGCATTAAAAGCACAGCATCGCTGTCCTCCCGCAGAGGTTCACAGGCCCTCGAGGGAGACTGGCAAGTTAAAATGAAATTACAATCCAAGCTGAAGAATGCAAAGTGGAATGAGAGGCATGTGGAGGAGCCATGGAAGCTCTAAGAGTCTCCAACCCTGCAAGACACCCCCACACACAAGGTTGTACAGGCACGCCTCCGGGGGTTCCAGCTTCAGGGAGCCAGGAACCTCCTCTTTTTTTATATTGTGACTTTCAAAGGCAGAAAGACCCTAGAATTATTGCTCTGCAATGTCATTTAACTCACATAACATTTATAATCCACTCCTGTGTAGAGAAAGGAATAGAAAAGGAAACCATATGGTTTGATTTTTGCCTTTTCAGCATGAATATAAAATATTCATTTCCTTGAGCACTTGAGACACTTTAATGCTTTATATTAAAGGTTACAAAAATTCCAAGGATCTTAATATGTACAATTTTCATTTTGCTAACTAAATCTGATCTCAAATTGTAGCTTTTCGTTTGCAATTCTTAAAGGCTGAATCGCTGGGCAACAAGACGGTACAGAGGAGGTAGGAACTGAAGGAGGAGACCCTGTCCTCCCGGTTGTGCCTGCTGCTGGGCCCTGCGCCTTATCACACTGCCCACTCGGCCGGAGGGCACGGGGCTCCTCTTCTAAAATGTAGTTCTTCCCAAGAGTGTTAAGCTGCTTTTCTATCTCCTATCTCATGACCCAAAGTAAGTTGTGATTGGACTCCTTTTAATATCTGTCTGATAACATCTAAAACAACGAGCGTGGCTACATTTTGTACCTGTTCCAGTGTCTTGCCCTACACATAGGCTCAAATTTTTTTATTTAAATGAATTAGTGAATGGATGGATAGAGGATGGACCTGAACTTCTTCTCTCTCTCTCTTTTTTTTTTTTTTTTGAAAAGGAAACTATTAAACAGGTATGTATTAGGAATGACTGAATCTGAGGGGGGGAAATTGGGAATCCAGAGGGCGGCATGAGGGAAGCAAGTGTCTAGAAGAAACATGAGGAAAACAACAACAAAATTCAAAAGAGAGAGAAAAAAAAGGAAAGTGGGAAGTAAACAAGCAAAATAAAGACAATAGTATATAATAAATCCCCTGTGCCCATCTTCAGCTCCAACAGTCATCAACGTTTCACCAACGTTGCTTCAGCTATCACTCACCCACCCCCAATTTTTTTAAGAGTGTTTTGGAGCAAATCCAAGGTATCACCTCCTATTATTTTTCCCATAGCTATCTATATATAAATCTCTAGCAAGTATACTTTACAAATAAATAACAAAAAAGCAAGGTTATGCTTTATATCTTAAAGGTGCTCAGAGCATGCAATCTCTATGTAATTTAAAAATTATTTTATATAATCTGGACAAAAGGGGCTATGCATGCACAAATGTTCAGCATACTTTTACTTGTAGCCCCCTAATTGAAAGGAGATAAACCAAAAGGGCAGAGGAATCCTATATACTGAGTGGCTAGATTATTATGCATTCAGATATATATATATATATATATTTGTGTGTGTGTGTGTGTGTGTGTGTGTGTGTGTGTGTTGTTTTTAGAGGCCCGGTGCATGAATTTGTGCATGGGTGGGGTCCAGCCAGCCTGGCTAGGAGGAGGGGACATGGGTGGTTGGTTGGCCTGCCTGCTGGTAGAACTCCTGGCCAAGGGGACAATTTGCATATTAGCCTTTTATTATATAGGATATACACTGAGTGGCCGGGTTATTATGCGTTCAGAGATCATAATAATCTGGCCACTCAGTGTGTAATAAAGAGCTAATATGCTAATTAGATCAAAGAGCAGAATGTCTGGGGCTGCAAGGGCCGGCCAAGGCAGCCAGGGCTGCGAGAGCTGAGCCCCTTGCACAAATTTTGTGTATTGGGCCTCTAGTGGGATCATAAATTATGGAACAGTCATTTGATATAATGTTGGGCATTCATTAAGACTACACAACCATATGGGAGCCATGCCTACACATCCACACTCAATACTGGGGGAAGGGAGGGTTGTTCCTGCATATCCCTTGCTGTCTGCAGAGCTAGAATCTAGAGCATGTGCTCCACCTTCCCAGCCACACCTGAGTGGACCAAAGTATGTCAACCTGAGCTAGGGACAGCCAATCCACAGGGATAAACAGAAACTTCTGATTTTCTGTGGCCTAACTGAATGGAAAAGATAAATTAGGCAAATCAAATCAGGATTTGACTTTAAGTGATCTAGAGAGAGGTGACTGAAAACTGTGGAACTGTACGTCATGTAGTCTGGGACGGCCGTTATTGACAGCGCACATCTGCAGTCATGAGAGTAAGGAACAGAAATGCAGAAACCCCATTAGATAAGCAGGGACCCCATTAAAGGCCCCTGAAAGAGCAGCTTCAGTAACTGATGGCTTTCTGGGTCCCCGCTCCAATTCCTGTGGAGCTTCACCACTTAGGCTCCTGTCCTTGAATTTCTCTAAGATTAGGCACAGGCATGCACACACACACACACACACACACACACACACACCTTTTTTCTCAGGTAATTTAACTCAACTAAGTTAATGTTCCTTGCAACCAAAATAGCTCTAAGACAAAACCTTTCACAATATAATGTTGAGTTAAAAAAAGAATGCAGGATTTTAGCTATGTTGTATTTAAAGTTACATGAAATGATAACAATTAACAGAAACAGTTAACAGAAAGGACTAACAGTTAACAGAAACAAAAAAAAAAGAAAGCAACGAGTGTATTGGTGGTAAAATTACAAGGTGATTTTTAAATTTTTTATTTGTTTATTTGTTTGTTTGTTTGTTTTTGGCGATTGGTGTTAATAGCATAGTTCCAAAACTTTAGAACCTAAAACTTCCTTCTAGTTCAACCTAATTTCTCTGGCAAGTTTAGTGTCAAGCCACCCCAAATAGGCATTTTCTTCCAACAATTATCTCAGACTTTGAGACCTTTCTGGACTATTCCCCCATCCCACCACTCTCCTAACTCATCTGAGAGGATGTCTTGGTTTATAAATATAGGACATGTTATTAAAGCAGTCTTTACTTTAATTTCCTCTGTACATTTCTAGAAGACATGAAGGGAGATATCAAATAATTTAGAAAGTTTTTATTTTCATACTTGTCTAAACATTTTATTACTTTATAAAAGATTTCCAAAAAAGACCAGTCATCTTGACGAGTATGAAAAACTATTAAAATGTTTTTTAAAATGTATTAAATATGGTCAACTTTAATATTAAAATCATTATTTTGACCAACTACCAAATATGAAATTGAAATAGACTCAATAACACTAGTTATCTAATGTTTTCCAGCAAAACAAGATAATCTGACTGCTGGAGAGGAACTGTGGCAGGCAGGCGTTAGCATTTGTCCAGCCCACTCCAGCAGGCCTCTCACCTGCGTGTCGTAGATGAAAGAGCCAAAATAGAAGAGGTTTCTCTAACATTGATAGCTCTATAGTGTTGTATGTGATTAATAAAGTACAATTTTTGCTAAGAAGGAGGGAGTACCTGCACCTTTATAGGAAAATAAGCCATAAACTCATGTTTTGTGCCTATTTCTAATCTTTATCAAGGTACACATGCACGACTGTATTCTGTTTTTTAATCAATATTTATGTCTTTTTTTATATATTGTAAATATTTCTCTCTTTTCCGTGTTCAGTACGGCTAGAGAGTGATCCCATTCCTGAGGAGGGGCGGCTGGGGATTGAGAAAATGAAAGACAGAGACAGACACAGAGATAAAAGGAAAAAGCGGGGGCCGGGTGGGAGCACTGTCTTCTGACATGGACAGGGACAGGAACAGTGACGCTGAGCCAATGCAGGGTGTTTATTTTATACAGCAAGAAACAGGAAGTTTTACTAAAAGTCAAGACCAAAGAGATTATGTGCATTCTTGGGTAGGCCCAAGTCATATTCATTCCTGGAACCTGGCTGAGCGTGTTTCCAGGATTCAGCTGACAGTAATTAAAAAAGTGACCAATAATTAAAGAATGTATTGTAGTACTTCCCAGGTGCTCTCTACAATAAATTAGTTGGATGTATATGTTTTTCCACAGAATACACACATTTTACTAATATAACAAGTTATATTCTATTAATGCACTAGAAGTATTACATTTAACTGGCCTGAATTTTCCTAGGTTGGTAATTTAATTAAAATATAGAAATGCCAACCTTAGCCAACTCTTCAGCAATCTCAATGATCCAGAGACCCAGGGGAGCAATAGTTCACTGAATTATAAAGTGACCCCTCAATGAGCAAGGTTAGAAGGAAACTTGAGGCAAGTG